GGGGCTTTGCCTTGTTTGCTCAGCGCATGCACCAAAGTTTCAGTGTTGTCAGACCCATCATTAGTTGTGACAAAATCCTGGTTTCACTCAACCCTATGCAGATGGATAATCAGCCATCGCAGGAGACGACTGAGGAACAACTGCAACATCTACTCACAGCACCTGCAAGGATGGTTATGGTACAGAGAAGGAGCCAAAACACCATCATTTTAACAATGTTTGTTTTTGCTGCCATCGTCTACAGGGGTAACCGAAGTGAGTGAACATGCACACAAGATTTGGCTATTGTTTTACATGACATACCCTTCCTGATACAACCTGGACTCAAACCAGCAGCCTCAAGATAACAAGACCACAGCACTGGCAAACTGAGCTACCACAGCTCAAACTTTTGTTTGAATTTATCATTTCTACAAACTTCTTTGGTTTGCACCTGCATTCATAAAAAACATAATAATAAACTACACAGCCAAAAAATAACATATCAAAAGGTGAAGGACTTTCCTTCTGATAGAAAACAAACATTTTGATATTTGTATGTATACTTGGTTTGAATCCTTCATTTTGCCAGTGATAACAAATATTGACAGCATGATGTTAATAACCACGTATTACAAAACTAGCATCAGTGTAAATGCTTTTAAAATCTCAAACTTAAAGAAAAATAAAATAAAAAAATGTTTCAATATTGGAGTCGTTTTAAAAAGGCAGCAATCCACTTTCATCCTGGCTCTGCCTGGACCAACTGTTTGTGTCTCCAAATCCGTGGTTCTCCAACTGGGGTCCCCGGACCCCCGGGGGTCCATGAGTCGATGCTTGGGTTCCGCAAAAAAAAATAAAATTGCTTGATGTTTAAGATGTTTATTTACTTGTAGATGTTTAACAACCCGTTAAAATACACCAAAATGCAGGAAGTCACATCTACTTTATTCAAAAGTATGACTCCTGCAGTTATGATTCTGTTCAGTTAATGTAAAGAGTTTTCTGTAATAATTTGAAGACGTAACAATACATTTATGTTCATTAAGTGAATAGGTAAAGTTTTAAAGTGTTTTTTTGATAATGTTTAATCTTTGTCATTTTTGGAAGTTGAAATAAACAAATGTTAAGTGTCTTGAATGACAAATACCCCATGTTTAAAAGTAGAAAAATTGTATTAACACTATTAAACAACACCTCTTAAGTATTTATATTACACAAATGTTTCCAGTGCATTAAAGAGACTAATTAAAGAAAATTGTTTAACAAACATGAGGGTTAGAAGGAGGTCCCTGAAGGGTCATTTTCATGTCGACATAGCAAAGTGGTTCATGTCAATCAATATGACGAGGGTCCAGGGTCATTTAACAAGCTATCTAGCACAGATAAGATATCTATTGCTCATAACTTTCCCACAGAGCCCCACTTTAAAAGATCTCTTTACTGGTGGTTTGTGAGCAAGCCAGTGCTGTTCGATTACTGCAGATAGCCGTGGCATGCCAGTAAATGTTCACTGCAGACCTTTAATGGCTCCGATCTGTCGTTACGATGGTACCTTCAGCGCATCGCCTTTAAACTGAAAGGAGAAAAACAGCAGGTAACTGAGAGGAAACTCAACAAAACGATCATGTTAAAGCATTCAGCCCGAAAAAGAATCACGGAGAAGCACGTTTGCATCAAGACAAGCGTTTATTTCTATAAATAGTCAAAAAGTAGATACATTAGTTGCACTGAATGGAACATTTCCAGCTAAAGAAAGCCTTTAAGCAGCAACATTACTGCAATGCAACACTCCGTGTGTCTAATACTCTTGCAACGGTCTTTATAGAGCATGATTGATGAGTAGAAAGTGTCATTAAATCACTGTGCAGCAGATAGTGTTTTCCCTCCGCTGCCTTATATTAGCACTGGGTAAACAGAACAGCTCTAATGCTTAGCTTTCATTTACCTCAAACATTTCAAAATATGGCAATTATTTTCATCTGCTCGAGGTAAATGTGCAACAGGCTGTGGGGGAAAGTCTCTGAGATTACTGAGCGATGCCATCAGAGCCAGTCAGGACGTGAATACAAATGAGAGAACATCATGTGCCTGTTTAGTATTTCTGCAGGAGGATATTTACCGCCTCTTCCACTCGTCTCACCAGCCGAAGCTAATTCTGCTGCTCACATGTTGCACGATCCATCCTCCCGCACTCGTTTTAAATTGGAGCCTCTGGCTCCCGCGACTCTGAGAAGTCTTATCCTAAATCCCCTTTGTGCGAGATCAAAACCTTCCATTTTAACAGAGCAGAGCTGTTGCAGCTAAAACTGATTTTTTTCTTTGTTTCCCACACCTGTCTTTCTGTGAGCCTCGCTCATGCTCATTCTTTTGAATTATGTGGTGCTCACTTTCTGGGAGAGAAGAGTGTAAAATGAAACTTTTCTTTTTTTTTTGTAAGAGTTATCAATCGTCATGTGCTGCTGCTGCTCCACGACAAAACCCTGACACCGATGTGATGTTCATGTTGCTGTACCTGCTCAATGTGCAGATTAAAATATTGATCCGTGTGATGGGAAGGCTAAACTCCTGACGTTTAAGTATGAATAAAACACCTGATTAGGAAATCAGATTAAAATATTGATTTTCAAAAATCAGTATTTCAAAAAGACGAAGCAGTCATAAAAAAATGTTCAATCTGTTTTACATGTACAGTTAAAAATACTGATCTGGTCTTTAACGGGTTCTGATTTTATTCAAATTGAACCTCCAAGATGCACAGCAGACTCCACCATTTTATTCTGTGAACGTTTAGGAAGCGTTCACACTGTTGTGATCCATTTTTCTGCCGTACGTTTTTCAGCATCTTTCTCCTTCCACAGTTTTTAAGCTATTTCAATAAATCATGAATCAAAACGTTCAGCTCTTTCAGGACAGTCCTGCTGTGATGTTTGGTATTGGTGCAGCTTTAGCTTTTTGAAATATTTAGCCTTTTCTGCCATTCTTTTCTCATAGAAAATGAATTGAGCTCATTTTACATCCGTCAGATCTTTAGATCGTTTAACACCTTTTACTGCAAATTTAAACTTTTTTCAGCTACTTTCAGCTGAGGTTTTTTTTTCAGCTGTTCTGTGCTCCTTTTTAGATTCTTCCTGACACTGAACAGCATACACAACATTACACAGCACATTAATAGGCTGGGTTTAGCCTGAGCAGGAGGACATGCACGTTGGAGGAGCAGAGGAGGTGCAGCACAGAAGATCAACATCATCAGGCCAGGACTCTGTGGTCTACACTCATCTCCAGGCCAGCGGTCACTCTTTCAGGGATGAAGATGTTCACATTCTGGACAGAGAGGAACGATGGTTTGAGAGAGGAGTAAAGGAGGCCATCTTTGTGAAAAGAAACCGTCCATCATTAAACAGGGGTGGAGGCCTCCGGGTTCAACTGTCCCCCTCTTACAATGCTGTGATTGCTAGTATCACTCAGCCCTCTGTGAACAGTAAACAGCCATCAGTGTGCTAATGACCCATTGTTAGGCTGATGGTCCTTCTTGATCATGTGATCAGCTGGTTTTGGTTGTCAGCAGCAAACTGGTTGATCCACTCTGAGAAGATGCTATTTAAGAGACTGAGGTGAATTCAACACCTTAAAATTGAGGAAGTTTCTCGGATGAAGACGAAACGTTTCTACATTTTTTTGTTGTTTTGTTTTTTGAATGTCCAGAGGACCAGATTTAACTTTTTTAGATTCTTCTACCTGGATTATTGAGCATGCATCAGGATATTTTGAACCACTTTGGCCAGGATTGCCTCAAACTAGTTAGAGAGTTTGAAACGTTTCTACATTTTTTATTTATTATTTATTTATTTTTAATGTACAGAGGACCAGATTTTACTTTTTTAGATTTTTCTACCTGGATTATTGAGCATGCATCAGGATGTTCCTGTAAAGTGCCCTGAGACAACTTTGTTGTGATATGGAGCTATATAAATAAACTGAATAATTGACAGGATAATTATTGTTATGTTGTTTATTTGTCATATGCAGGTGAACACAGGGTCAACGGTGCAATGAAATGTTCAGGATGATAAGAACCGATTTGACTCGCTAAAAATTAACAAACAAGAAATATTAAAGCATGCAGTAGCGTACAAAATAAAGCACCCAAAGTTGAAAAATAAATATAATATTTACAAGGTCCAAAATAAAAATAGTAAACAACAACATGGTAAAACATAACGGGATGAATTAGTATAAATAAGTGATGTAGTTAAAATCAAGACCTGCACCTAAACCATGTGGTGGGACTTTAGGAGAGCTGAGAAGAAACAAACGTCCACAAATCTCAATGAACAGAGTCAAACTTCACCTGAGGTCCATGTTCCTCCACAACCACATGGAACCAGTAGAATCAGACAGGGAATAAGTTCCTGCTGCTGAACGACTTACAGGCTTCGCTTTGAATAAAAAATGTCAGGATGGGATACACTGTCTTATATTTAGACCATTGTAGAGCACGAGAAGTCCTGACATATAACTCCTATTGAACACCTCTAAAATCCTTTATTTCACCAGAGACCTAAACCAGGAACCATATGTTTCCCTCTCATGGCTGCACTGATTAAACATGTTTTTTTAATTTTAAAGAAAAAAAGTCAAAATACAAATACTCCCCCCTTTTTCTTTGCCCTTCATCCCTCTGAGTCTAAAGGATGAGGAGGTTGCATCCACAGGTTTCCAACAAGAACATGGGCAAATGAGAGCAGGCTGTGATGTGCTGTTCATGTCTCCCACCATCTCTCCCCCTCACTCCTCCTCAGTAATACTAGGCTGGGTTTAGCCTGAGCAGGAGGACATGCGCGTTGGAGGAGCAGAGGAGGCGCAGCTCAGTCATGAAGCTGATCCTCATCACTTGTTCTTGTAAGGACTGCTTCAGTTTCCAACACTCCCATCAGTTGTCTGAGACTTGTCTGGAGCTCTGATCATCACTTTGTGTTTCCTGCTGACTGCGCGCCCCCGCCGCCACCCTGAAGTTCATAGTTGTCATCTTGGCCGCCGGGATGGTGGCCTTCATCGGGGCTGTGATCTGCATCATCGCGGCCGTGCACACCGGCTCCTCCAGGGGAGCCGCGGCGGCTCAGCGCCAGCCCGCGGCCGACAACCACTCTCTGTTCCCGGACGCTGCGGCGCAGACTCCCGCCGCCGGGGGCTCCGTGGCGCGCGCCGGAGCGCTCGGAGCTCTCCACGGTTCTGAAACGCCTGACTCGGAGGCGCCCACTTTCCGCGCGGGTCTGGACGGAGTGACGGGACTCACGGGACACGACCCCACGGTCAGCCGGCTCATCTGCACCCCGATCCCCGCCGGGGAGTGCAGCACGAGGAACTTCCAGCAACAAGCGGAGGACCCGGCGCTGTACGCCGGAGAGGACTGGGGCTACCTGCGCACCGCGGCCGAGGAGCTCCGGCACACCGTCCGCCAGCAGAAGGAGCAGATCTCCAGCGAGCGGAGGACCATCAGGGAGCTGGCGGGGAAGCTGTCCGAGTGCGAGAAGGGGCTCGGGGGGAGAGGACGAGGGGGGAGAGGCGGGGGGAGCAGCAGCGCGGAGAGGCGCGGGCACCCCGCGGGGCTGAGAGGAGCCCCCGAGGAGACGCACCTGGAGCGCATGATGGTGCGGGACAGCCCGGCCTCAGAGCCCGACGGAGGCCACCTGCTGACGGCTGGAGCCGTGGAGCAGCTGGAGCAGGCCATCAGCCAGCTGCAGGACCGCATCGAGAAGCTGGAGGTGGGTGAAGCTCAACCACATGACAAACTTCACCTGAGAGCCACTTTTATTTAGGAGTTATGAAAATAAGTAAAAAACCAAAGTATTTATGTAACACGTTACTCATAACACAGAGTGCAAAGTAACTCTTAGTTAAAGCATGTATCCTCAACTTTTAATGATGATTCTCACATCCATAAGTCCTAAAACTGCTAAAGGAGAACACGTCACATTAACTCCCAATGATATTTTACTAACATTACTCAGAACTAAATAAGTCCAACCTTAAGTATATTGGTAATCATTAATGGTTATTGTTACCTTTAACCATAACTTAATGATAACTCCATGATGCTTAACAATAACATTATGTTTGCCCGTTTTAATGTAATGTGAAAATAAAGATATCAGTGCATTTTTGTTCATCTTCATTTCAGAATTACATGTACTGTGAATATTTCTTTAAAATAAAAAAAACAACAATAACTTGCAATGATAACATGGAACAATAACCTTTTTATTTATAACAATCCTCTTATTTATGTTTAACTTAGATATGAGGGACTTTTAAAATGAATCCACAAAAACAGCATGAACTCTTATTTTCACCCTGTAGGAGCCGAGACCAGTAAATCCATGGATTGTTTGCTTTGTTAGCACCTGTGACATGCTATGGTCATGTCTTTACTGTAGATCTGATTGCTCTGGATAGGTTGCCATCTTCATAATGGCAGGGAAAGAGCTTCAAATGTCAAATCCAAAAGAAATATGTGTGAGGAGTGAGGAGGAGGAGGAGGGGGAGGACTCGAAGAAGAAGATGGAGGAACAAGCAGTAACAAGCTCGACCACAATCAGATGATTTATGACTCCATGTTTGGCCCAGAGAAGTGCATGTTTAATGCATGAGGCACCTTCTGTTTGTTTCTGAGCGTGATGCTCCTCTGCAGGCTAACACCCCTCACTCAGTTATATATGGCCTGCGTGGGTCATTTTTATACCTGTGACTTCCAGCTTGTACACTTTTCTCCAACAAACCCTCTTATTCCTCTGCATTCCTCAATTCTACACATCCTCCGGTTAGTTGGCAGCATCTTCCTCCCATCAGCACCTCTTCTTCTGAGTCAGGCTTGTGTGCACCGCTACACGGTCCCCTTCAGTAACATGTTTACATCAGATTTAATATCCAGCTGTAACACAGTAAACAGAGCCGGTGCTGTTAATATTTTGGTGATTGTGCAAATAGTACAGTGTTGTGTAAAATCAGTGTTGGCAATATTTAAGATTTAGGAACAACAGAACTACCAGCACAGCATTCACACCTGATTTTTTAAAATACTCTTTGAGAAAAGAGAGCAAGAGTTTATGCCAGGGTTATTCAAGTGGTGGCCTGGGGGCCAAATTAGGCCCACGGATGTGCTTAGTTCGGCCAGTGTTGGTCCAAGCCTCCATGGGGCCCTAAGCGAAATTAGGTTTGGGGCCCTCTATTTCTAATAATGTGGATTACTGTAATCAACAGTCAGATGATCAGATCATTCACCACCTAACATAAACTCATTGCAACTCTGACAGCCCTGTTTACATCATACTATTAAATAAATCATGTGGCACTAAAAGTAACAAAACAAACAAAAAACACCAGTACGCAATATATTTTACAGCAAAAGTGTCATCTGGTTTATTGTCTTTGGTTCCAAAGAACTGCAGCAGTAATGTTCAAAGTAATTTGTGGCGCAAGATCAACAACAAACAAATTAAATAACTTGGATGCATACAAATAAATTAAACTGTGCAAAAACAGACAAAATAAAATATCAAGGAAATACTTGATTGATGTAAATGAACAATTACTTGAAACCACGTAAAAGGGTTAAAAAAAATTAAAGTTGAATAATTAGTTCTTAAAACTATTTAAATGTATGCAATTGGTAAAAGCTGATCTTTTTAAACAACCTTTACCCACACATTTGACCTGTTTGTGTTACTTCTTCCTTTATACTTCACAAACTTCCTAAAACCTGTGCTTCCACTTAGGGGTGCCCCTAGTGGCCCCGGGGCCCTAAGCAGCTGCTTAGTTTGCTTTTGCCTTGGACCGGCCCTGAGTTCGGCCCACAAATGGGTTCTTTTTTAAATAAACTTTAAACCATAAACTTACTTAATGACAATAACTGCTGGATGTCTGGCCCCTGAGCTCTTGGCTTTCAGTAACCGCGTCCCCCTGATCAATTTAATTGAACAGCCCTGCACTTTGATGTAACTTTACTTGTAGGGATTTTCAACGCTCGCTCTCCCAGAGGGCTAAGATTTATTAATCGTACTGTTGGAAATTCTCAGCTCCAACTCTAAAACAAAGATGTTGAGACCGTTTCCATGGTGGCTTCTGTTCTATTAAACATCTTGATCAAAACCAAATTATTTCCACTAACATTTAATCCTATAGGACATTAAAAACAAGTGACACATTGTAACTGATGAATTTGCATTAGAACATGTTCAAACTACATTAAACTGCTGCATTTGTAGATGATAAAAATGTTAAATTTACATTTTAAATGTACTTATCCTTAAATGATTCTGTAAAATGTATTGTTTTTAAAGTATTTTTATATGAAAGACTTGTAATAAGTACAGTGAGCATGTGTTTATGTTTACGGAATAACATGTCGATTTTACTTAGTAAAACTGTTGAATTTACAGCTCACTCTGTAAAACTAGTTACATGTTACAGGATTTGGCAACCCAGCTGCCAGTTTTATTTAATAAAAATTACAGATTTTTTTTTACAGTGTAGTTGAATCTGTTAAGGAGGCTTTCAATGTGTGGGTTTGATTTAATAACGAATTTTTTTAAATTGTTTCAAATAAGCTTTAAAGAAACGTAATTATTTCAATATTTGTCATTCAAGCCTGAGAGTGACACGTGATGCTGCTTTCATTCTTTCTTATTGCAGACCTTGACTGGCTGTGGAGGTCGCCTTAACTTAAAACTAATCAGTTAATTAGTTGTATGTTACAACACTTTCATTATGATCCATCCACTACTTTATGAGATATTTTGCAGACACAGTAAAGAGGAAAAGCCTCAGAAACAACCATTAATGTAGAAGGGCACTCTTATGATGTAGTTTTAAAATTTCTAACTTTTCTAGAAAATGAATAAAGTGGACAGTATACATAAGTTTTAAAGTATTTCATTCTAATGGAGTCTTTGTTTTTCTACATGCTGCACAGCTCTGTGTGTTGATCTCTTTGAAACAGTGTGCAT